ATACATCCTTGAGGGATGAATTTATTATCAGTAGCAAAGCAAATAGGAGTCTCTTCTATTAAACCCTTGAAATTCATATTATAGGACATCTTATGAGGAATAAGGGAATCAGAAATCCCTCCTAAAAAATCAGGATTATCAGTAAATACCTTAATATTAAGTTTTCCCCAATCAATAACTCTTAAAAAAGGAGTATCAGGAAAATAAGCCCAATAAGATTGATTAGTAGAAATCAGTGATACCTTAAAAGACAAGAGTGCTAGCATAGCAAGAAACACTTTTTCAGGAGAGGCAGAGGCACCTTGGCTAACAACCAAGTTTTGTGCCTGACTGGTCAGATGTTTGATTTGACCCCAGGAAGGTAATTTTGATGTCAATGTTGTTCCTGCCTGTCGAGGGGAATGAAGGGGAAGATTAGTCATGTCCTCAGCAAGTTCTTCATCCTGGGTCGATGGCATCCTTGGGTATGGCTTGGGGAGAAACCTCCGCCTGCAATATAGGTGAGTCATAATGTCTGATGAGTCGATCTGGATTCCACAAAGGTGAAGTAGCGTCCTGTGGAAACATAGAAGCATATCCTCAACCCGATGTTAAGAGAATATCAGGTCCTTTCCACTGTCTAGTAAGAATATCTTTCCATTTAACAAAAGGTTTATGAGTTACTTTTTGCTCAGACCAATGACGTTGCATTTGAGTTAATTTAGAATCATTTACATTTAAATGATTAATAACAAATAAAGCATGTTGAAGAATTTGATGAGGAGAGCTATAATGTAGTTCCCCCTCTTTTAATTTATTAATTTGAGATTTTAAGGTCTGATGAGCTCTTTCCATTATGGCTTTTTCTTGTGGGTTATACTGGATGCCTTTGGAATGAACTATATTAAGTGTCTGACACAGGTGTCTAAAGGTTTTTGAAATATAAGCAGGAGCATTTTCTGTCTTAATATGAAGAGCTAATCCCATATATGCAAAGGAGGCAAAAAGATGTTGGGCAATATTTTTATAAGCTTCTCCAGTATGGGCTGTAGCAAAAATAACATATGAGAAAGTATCCACACAAACATGAACAAAAGATAACTTTCCAAACTCTTGAATATGAGTAACATCCATCTGCCACAATTTGTTGGGTAATAAACCCCTAGGGTTGACACCCATCTGTGGAGAAGAAAAGTGAGTAGGACAGATTTGACATTGTTTAACAATTTGTCTAGCTTTTTCTTTAGTTATATGAAACTGTGCTCTAAGAGCAGCAGAATTTTGATGATGTAATTGATGATCTTTAGTAGCTTGTTCAATAACGTTATAAACAGTCCTA